TATTGTATTTAATGTGAAAAATATTTCGCCCCCTCCCCCTGGAATTGGTCAAGGACCGCCACTGCTTCCCATAGAAAATTCCTAGCTACAGTCCTGGTATTAGTTATTACTTAGTACTAGGACTAGAGTCTAGAATTTTGATGCATTGTATTTTTTTCTGGAATGTTAAACCCAATGATTTCCAATACATATATTATATACACCGATACAAATATTTCAAATATATAGTGTGTTTACATCAGTTTTTTCTATTTTTTTTAACTTTTATGTATAAGGAAATGTTTAACCGTTTTTTAAAGTAACAATTATATTTTATAATTATTATAATTTTTTTTTCTACTAATATAAAAAATATATGTAAATAGGTACAAAATATATTATAATAAAATATCATTAAATGCTCTGGTATTATAATATCACATATATCTAGTCGATGATCAATTATATAGATAACCAATCAGCTATATGTTTTTTTTTATTGCACCGTTACATGTTTTGGTATCGTTCATATTTTTTGAAAGATCATTCTAATCAGAGCCTTAGTTATTACCATATTTTAATATTAATTTTAGTGGGGCACCATCAAAAAAAGGTCCAGCTGTTGATTACTTGTTGTGTAAAAGTATAATTGAAGCTGTAGTTAAGACTGTATACACTGACAAACCCAAAGATTTGCTCAACCAGAAAATAGTTGCATTTTCATACTTTTATGACAGAGCTCAAGATGCTGATCTTGTCGGTATGTATTATACTTTAAACATAAACATAGTATTGTACATTATTGTTAACATTTGATTTATTGCTATTATTCTAATTTTCAGGYGAAGAAGGAGGAGATGTTACTATTAAATCATTTTATAAAGCAGCAGAGAAAGGTAATGTTTTTGTTAATAATTATTTATAATATTAATTATTTTTATAATAAATTGAATTTTTTCAGAATGTTCTCAAACAAGTTATAATGAGTTACGTCCATTTAAATGCCTTGATTTAACCTATATTTCTGTATTATTGGAACAAGGTTTTGGTTTACCTGTTGACACTTCAGTTTCTGTAAGTCTTTACTATTTTAATATCACAATTATGATTTATATATATATATATATATATATATATTCAAATAATCTAATTTCATTATAAATTTGATGTTTAGTTATTAAATACTATTGATGGACATGAAATAAGCTGGGCGCTCGGAGCAGCTTACCATATTTTACAAAATGGACTTTAACTCAAACTGCCATTTTTCAAAAAACAAAACAACCATGGTGATTGATGATCAAAACATAGTTTATGTTCTATTTTCTACTTTGTCATGTCTATTGTTTAATTTTCTGCCATTCAAACATAGTGCACTAGTTGATACTAACTTTTCACACAAATATTAGTTTGTATTTTGKATTTTTATTTTTAATYATCAATATATTTGTTATATTTATAAATTATATTCCAACGAATTATTTGATTTTAAATACTTGTATTGTTAGATTAATTTTAATTTTATAATCATGAATTCACKMGTGAATTCATGATGATGATATGTAACAGCTAAAATTTATGGATTGTCCACAAACAAAATAGTTTGCATTCCATTGCCATAATTAATGCTACTTAATTGTCTTTATTAAATAAAATTGTACGGTTGAATAATTTTGTAATTATTTAATTAGAAAAAATAAAATAAACTATACCAGCACATCATTAGATGTCAACAGGGCCGGATTGKTTAGGTGAGCTACCAAGAAAATCTCAGTGGGCAGCTTAAAGTTAAGGCCGGTAGTATCAGTGTGGGTAAAAATAATACATGTTAAGGATAAGTATATAAGTTTGTAACAATTTTAAACGTAATAAACCGATAAAAAATAATAGAGACCCAAATTTTGGGCCAGTGAATATGTAAATGGGCCGCTTAGAAGTGAAAATCTCGATGGGCTAATATATACCAATCCGGCCCTGGATGTCAATACATTTCTAAAAGCAATTAAGAGTGTAATGAAGTTGAAGTTATTGATTGCTAAGGTCATTACAAGTTCTTTCAGACTAAAAAAAAAAAAAAACTTCAATAAGTAATTTAAATAATAAATAAATATTCTGAAATGTCGAGACACCATTTCAACTTATTTTAACTAAAAACAAAGATGAACTTTTTTTTCAAGGTGACAGTTGTAGTGATCTGATAGTAATATGACAAATTAATTACAGAAAAAATAAAATAGGAAATATATGCTCAATGAATAWGAAGTAAATAACTATCTCATAATATTTTAAACTGGAATCTTTGTTCATTTAGTGAAAGATGTATTTTATAAATTATAGTACAAAAATATACTGGGGGAAACTAAGAAAATGGACATGACTGATTCCGAAAATAGAAAGAACTTAAGTACATAATTCTAAAATGTGCCRTAAATATACCTTATTTTAGTAGTCATAAACGCAACTGTACAACAGTTGCATTAATGTTTTGGTTGGGTTAAKTATTAGGATTTAAAATTAGCAGCTTTGATTAAATGTTTACATTTGCATAAAAGTTWAAGAAAAATCATTAAAAAAATGAATCTATTAAGCAAAAGTTTTAATTTAAATAATATMATAAATTGCATATCAAAATTCTTTAAGACCTAACACAATTTAATTTTGTAGCAAGTCTACATTACGTTATATTTCTAAAAGTAAATGAAAAAAAAAGAAAACAAAAACTCATGGTTCACCCTGTATGTAATTATTAGAATCTAAATAGCTGTTATATGACAATTTTAATTTTTAACCTGGTCAGGTTATGTTCAAATATACATATATTTTTATACTTTTATAAAATAGCTTTGCCGTTTTTGCTAAATTATGAACATTTTGGAGGAAAAAATATAGCAAATCTATCAACTAAAAAATGAATAATTTAATGACAAATTATATGTTTAATGAAAATTATATAAGGTTGAATCAATAAATAAAAAAATTAACTAAAATCTAATTTTTTTTTACATTATACATTTTGCTCAAATCCATATGGAATAAGTCAACAATATAATATATAATTTACACAATATGACATTTGCATCAAATTTCAAAAAAAAAAACATAGTGGTAACATAAAAATGTTTTAAGATCTTTTATTGCTCCAAATTGATTTTGGAAAAATGAAAGACAATTGAAAAAATTTGTTTCTTTTTTGTTTTGTAGAGTATAAAAATCACCATGTTTTTTATTATTAGGTAAATTAATAAAAGATACTAACAATTTTTTACTCTTACTATTTAAATAAAAAATATAATTGTAAATATTTTGACAGCCTTTAGTTACTAATTTGTTAGAATTCAAAGTTAAAATAATTAACAAATCTACAAAATTGGAAAACATTAAAGTATCACTATTTGTTGATTGTTTACTTTTGCAAATTTATCATGTTTATCAAAGAAAGTCATCTTGAACTAGGTCTGGAGGAAATCGCATACCTCTTCTCTTCAAAGACCGTTCAATAGATTTAGCTTTTTCAATCTTAGCATCTTGCTCTTGTTTTTGTAACGCTAAAATGTCTCCTATCGACACTCTTTCAAACATCTGATCAGCCTCTTTTAAGGCGTCCTAAAAAAACAAACATCAATTATTAAAATTGTTAAATTTAATTCAACATTTTAAAAACAATCTTACTATCTCTCCAAGTAAAACGACATTTTCTCCTCTGACCAAAAACACACCTCTGGGTATATCACCAAATTTTTTGCCCACATGTATGCGCTCAACTGTTTGCTGAAGCAATAAATTAGCATATTGATCAACGCTTCGTAAGTATCCAATAAGCGTTCTACCATCACGTAAAAGAACCATGAGCTTTTCTACAATATAAAATAAAACAAGACAATAAATATTGACGAAATGACTGTTTAAAACACAATAATACAAAACTCGACAGTTACACCAACAAACCAATCATTTTACACTTACTGTCCAATTCGTACAAAAGCGTAGCAGTTCGAGGCGGAAACGAGTTCATCGCTGTTGCACTAGAATTATTATAAAATCGTAAATTTGAAAAAAAAGCAGTTCGGAACCATGTTAAGAAAAACTTCTATACCTACCCATTACTTACCTATGAATCACATTGTTACACACTGAAAATAATAATAATAATAACAACAAAACAGTGATTAGCTGTGTACGGTAGATAACTCGTTTTGATAACAAAATTGTTATTAATATAAAAAAAGTTAGTCATTAGACAATATAAAAACTAGWAACGTGTGTGTAATGTCTATTGCTATTTACCATTTATTCGATTGGCGTCATAAACTCATGACCACGAATACTAAATAAATGGTTTGACTGATGCAAAAACTAAAAAGTTAAATTAATTTTGTAAGTTTTAACCCATTTTAACTTGGTAATAGAACTTTATTACTCTTGACTAGTAACGCACTTAAACACACCTATTCTGTTGTATCACAATTATGCATTTATATTAAACCGTTGATTCATTGTTTGTTACTGCATAAAGCATAACGTAAAGGTAATAATACTCTATTTATGGATTACTGGTTCGTGGTCGAAATGGAAGATATTTGAATCACTTATTACTTTCTGAATTTTCAAAAATTAAAAAAAGTTATTATTTATTAATAAAAAAATGATGAAAACATTTAAATAGATCGCAAAAATACAATTTTATCAAAACTCAACAATAACTGTGCCGACTTAACCATAGAACTAAAATACCTGTTAGTGAGACGAAACTTATTATTGTACTACCACTATTACTCAGTGTTAGTTATGGAACATTCTCTAAAAATATAAATTCGATCACGTCCAGTCTTTTAAAAAGGGACTCGTTCACGTTAACCTTAGTGTATTTTTTCAAACGAATGTGTTCGGGGTCGAGTTCTTAGAAAAGATTAATTCGTTCATTTAGTTGTTAATAATAGGAACTAGCCCTCCGTGCTAGTTGTGTACAATCAGAGGCGTATTTAGGCACCGGGCCTAGAGCGGCAAATTTCAACAATTTTTTTTTACAAAATTAGAAAAATTATTTTTCATTTGATGAAATCAAACTCAACTAATTTTTGTTCGCTCAAAATTAATCATATATCTACATATATCTCAATGTATCTTTTTAATATAATATTATAATAYARTAAATTRTAWATTTAAATACGTTTTAGAAATAATTGTAAGAAGGATGAAGGGGGAGGAAGGCGGCGAATTGGAAAGTGCCTAGAGGCGGAAAAACCTTAAATACGCCACTGATTACAATAGGAATTATAATAAAAAATAATTAATCAATATATTCTAACATATATATTTATAAAATGATAAATGAATTGAGTGCCTTAAAAATCGTCCAAATTCGTTAAAATAAAGTTCACGTTCAATTTGAAAAAAAAACGAGAAGTTATAGTATTGTTCACTATACAATGATAAAATTCAAGATAAAAATATATGAATTATGAACGTGTGAACATGCGCTCATGAACGACGTTCTTTCCAAACATTCTACACACTTATGAGTAATGGTAAACCACACACACATTTTGTGTACTACAAAATTAATTTCATTTTGTTCAGAAAATTAGGTAATTAGCATTGAAATGAACATGTAACAACACTAACAACTATTTTAAAGTCTACGGTTAATTTATTATTAACATTACAATATTTGGCTCATATACCATGGACAGTGAATGTGGTTACTATTTTTTGTCTGTTTCACATGCATTATGTATAATAACATGGTAATACTATTTGTTCCAATTTACGTTCAACCATTTACATTTGGTTTTGTCTATTTTAATATTAATGAATGAATTTATCATTTAACTTTTGGTTAGCAGTAGTGTTTGGTTGGTAGAGTTAAAGCAGGGCTTGGATTTTATAGGTTAGCATTTGCTAATCGTTATAGGATACAGATAAAAATATATGAATTATAAATTTGTTTCATGCAAACAGGGACTCCACAAATGAAATTGTATAACTCTATTTTTTACTAATTTGCATAATGTGTTATTTTGTATTTCCATGAATCTGTTTATATTTTTTTCTTTTTTATTCATGGTACAGCTCCAACTGCTAAGGTAATAAGCTTGTAACAAAATTAGTATTTAGTAGGTACATACTAAAATATGGTTATACAATAGGTTCTTAAATTAGATTATMCATATCAATTTGTTTTAAAAATGTAATTATTTTGTTGGTGTTGTCATAGGTAGGGCTGAGGGCTTCAAAGAGGTTGTCGGGCAATTTTAGCTTTTTTCTGGTATCTATTCTAGTTTATATTATGCGGTATGAAAAATAAAAAAAGCTTAAAGTTTTTCATTTATTTTTAATTATATTTTATTTGAATCCATAAGAAAAATAATAAGCATCCATATATTTTTGTTAATATTAAAATCTATTTTAAAGTAGCCCGCTGAATTGGCCAATTGGACGGTGAATAATTAAGACACCTTATTGGTTGTATTCATTCAATTTTGTCTGGAATATTCTGTCATACATTTTTTTGTATCTTTTGTTTGATTATGAACTAATTAATTTTCATTTATGTCTTTAGGGCATTTTATAATGCTTGTTTTAAGATTTATTAGGTCATATTATAGCGTTTATTTCAATTATTTTTTAGGCTATAAAAAGTATAAAATCTGTACCCTGGTTATAAATATATAATAATTTAAAAATGTTTATAACTTTAAAATAAAAATATTGAAAACAAATTTATTACATAATTATATATAATATATTTATTATATGGTACAAAGTATTCAAAGTAAAACATATTATTTTTTTATAACACTATTCAAGAAACAGTAAAATTATTTTAGTAGTAGTTAAATAAATCTTCTCATGTCACTAATTAATAGCGAAGTATAACTTTAAGTAGCAATAATATATTGTATACTAATAAGAATTAAGAATAAATCTTTCCATTTACAGTTTAAATTATTTTTAACATTTTAATAACTTATGCAAAAAAAAAAAAAAAAATGTAAACATGATTTGAAAATAATGAACATAATAAAATGTCTACGAACTAAATTCTTTTAAGCAAAAATTAAATAGTTTTAATTTAAAAAACCAAATAATAGCATTGAAATATTTAAWCAAATTATGTTGATGTTTCTTTGTTTTCATTTATACAATCTTTTAATCTATTTTCAAGATACTTTTTTCTGTATGTAAGGGGTAGTTCAGATAATTCTGAAATAAATTCAATTTGATTTCCTTGTTTATTATACATGTTTTCACCATCTGGTAAAATGTTTCTTAAAGCTAGATTTCTTTGAATTAATGTTTCATAATATTCTATGCCGCCCTTAATATATTCTTCACCAATATTACATACTTTTTCATCGGCTTTTTTTTGATAAAAGTTCTCAGTAGCAGTACGTATTAAAAACCATACAAATACTCCTATATTACTTAATAAAACAAGTGCTAACGCCCTAATTTTAGCTGGTTTTAGAGGCAATCCATTACATACATAAAATCCCAAAGCATACATTGGAATTAGTACTATAGAAGATAAAACAGATTTAATAAATATTCGATGATTATCTGTAAGCAGCAATTCTCGAGCAATACTATATTTTTTAGCACGTTCACTGAAGATTAACGACTTCACAAATTGCTGTCCAAATTCAGACTTGTCATTTATAAGTTTTGCATATTGTTCCTGAAAAGAGGAAAAATTAATAGCATACAAACTCTTAATATATAATATTATAAAAATAATTGATTTTACTTGTATATTTAAATCTGAAGCGTTTAGAATAGAAATATCATCTGCAGAGTTAAGATCATAAATGCTTGGAATTCCTATATAACTACCCATACGAGTATTCAAACAACCAACATTTACTGGATAAATTCCTTTAGCTGTAAATGGTACAACAAAAGCTTTTTTAAAATCTGTTAATTTTAAGTCTTGAATTACATCATCAAGTCGTTTTCTCAAAGAGTCACTTAAAGCAACTGGTTGATTATTTCTGAAAAACATAATATATATTTAGTTTTGAAATAAATAAAACAACCATCAAGCAACTTATTTAAGCATGAGTGGAAATGAAAAAGTTAAGAATGTGCAGATAAACAATTGTGATTTAAGCTTGTTGATAAGTTAAAAATTGGTTTTGATTTTAAATTTGAGACTACAACATATTTTTTTCAAACCTGTTTTATCTAGTTGATCTAGACATGAACTAGGCAATTGGCTAGATTTAACCATTTAAAAATTATCAAACATTATATTTTATCGACACCAGTATAATAAACCACGTAAATGGTATAGTTCAAATAACCTGGTGTTTTATTTTTATAGTGGTTTAGTCTAGCATATTTATAGAAATACTCAAAAATGTAAAAATGAAAACACTAAGATAACTGTATTTTGTAGTAACATACTTGTTTGCTTCTTTAAAGTATTTGACAAATAAATCGTTAAATATTATGTTTGAACTATATTCAATAGCACCGGTACCGATGGTCACAGTGCACAACGCGTTAACTATGAAATCCGATGTTATTTTAAACTTGCTCATGATGGAGGTCAATTAATATTAATCAAGTTCAGAGTTACAATAATATTTTATAAGTTGCGGGCWRATTAATTTATTCACCAATAGGACTATGGAGTTCTACAATACTATAATATCTAAAATTTAATTTACTAAACAGAYGTCAGATTACGAATCTAAAGTTGCAGAAATTTAAAGTGAACGGTAGTCAATATCCAGAAGACTGTTTACTGTAGACCTGAAAAAGTGAAAATTGAAATGGCTGAAATCTGAATTATTGAAATTGTAGAGAAAAATCCGACCATATTCTGGATACCGGCAATGATTATGATAATATCACAGTTATTCTGTGATATGAGCAATCATGATTTAAGATAATATTATAAATATAATCATGTGATGTGTGGTGATATCATTGTTAATTACCCGCCAGCCAACCACGAGTTAATGCGGAATATTTTTATTCATTTAAAATTTAAATCATGTTTATAAATTAAGGGCCATCGTCATTTTCGGTTTTCAAAAATGTTGTTATGATTTATGATTATCACATGTTTCAATCGTTATTATCCTATAAATAGAGAAACAATTTTTATGAAAAAAATTCGTTCATCGGAAAAACACTTGTAATGTCTCACTACACAATATTTTACCACAGAAATTATCCCTAAAAAGTAAAAAAAGGAATAGATTAATAATTTCATCAGCTAAATTACACCATTATTTATCAATATTCACTTGTATCATAATTATTATGATTTTTTAATAAATTTTTTACTGGCATTGCTTATCGGTGAGATCATCCACCCCGGCCAGTCATCCACCATCAAAGCCAACCAACTGCAGCAGGCCGGCCGGTTCCCCACACCTCCGCCACCGATTTCATCCTCTTTTCGTCACCACCCGTTTCCGTACCTAACGCCAATGGCAGTAATTCGTTTATCATTTCATTGTATCTTTTAACGTTTTATTTTTTTTTTTTTTACGCACACGGCAGAAACCTCACGCACACGCTACCAGCGTCCTACACTAATTCTATGTACAATATGATTACACAGTACACGCACACGCACACGCCTCCGACCCGCCACCCACCCACCCATCGGTTATATAACGTTATCGCCGTAAACCTCCTAAACTTCGGCCGTCGGGTTCGCTGCACCGCACCGCACCGTATCGCAACGCATCGCATCGGTCGTCGAGTTGAGTTGTAGCGGCGATTTAACCGCCCATACTCGACAGTCGACAACGTCCGTCGGCCACCCCGGCATCGATCGTCGATTGATTCGACACTGGCGCGATTTCGACCCGTTCCATGACGGATAACGACGACGACGACACCAACAACGACAACGACAATCGCGTGCGTCGCCGCCGCCGTCCTCGTGCGTTGCCGTATAAATAGGCCCGAACGTCCCGCGTCGCGCGCAGTTAGTTCGCGTGTARCGTGTSCGGTGGTTAGTGCGATTATTGACCGACTATATTACGATGATCGTCGTGGTTGTYTCCAGTTAGTTGCATCCGTCATCCTGCAACTTGTAGGGCTGTGGACAGTCGACCGACACACCGGTGCTCATTGCCAATCAAACGCGCAATGTCCGTGTTCCGGCCACTGATCGATGCCTTCTGGTCGCCGGACATCTGGCTGCCGCCGAATACCCAGTGGTCCGATCTGGAACCCAACGAACGGGTCCAGTACACAGATCACCGTCACCTGGTCTACCCGCTGCCCATGGCCGTCGTCGTGTTGCTCATAAGATATCTGCTCGAAAAGTGAGTTAAACTTTAGGGTGGGCGGTTCAGGAGGTGCGCACCTTTTGGATTGTGGTTGTCGGTTTTCGTTCTTTTCTCCTATCTAAGTTGGTTCTCTCTTTCAGATATTGTTTTTCGCCGTTTGGCCTTTCGCTGGGCATCAAGAGCACCAAACCAAAAAAAGTCCCGAACAATGACATGCTAGAGGAAAGGTATGCACGAAACAGCAAGTGGAATCACAAGGATGTGGTGGGCCTGGCCAAAAGGCTCGATTGGACCGAGCGACAAGTAGAACGATGGTTGAGGTTGAGGCGAGCTCAAGATAAGCCTTCGACCCTCGTCAAGTTCTGTGAGAGCAGGTAATATTTTTCTATCTATACRAATAAAAAACTAACCTTTTGTGACTTGATGTTTGAATTTGTCTCAAGTCTATGGTAATTATCTGTAATGAAGTAACTGTGTAGCATAATAACAATGGTACTACTTAAATAATCTAATAAATTGAGCTGTGAGCTACATAATATTGAGGTATAATGATTAAAAGTCTTCTTGTTAACCCTACTACAATTCCTTGTCTRTAGTTGGAGAATTGCCTGGTATTAATACATTCATTATGCTAAAATGTGGATAGATTTAAAAAATATTAACTTTAAATAAATACCTAACTTTAATTTTCATCATATTTACCATTGTACACYTTAATAAGTCAACTGTTTGGTTTTTTTTGTTGAAACTAAGAGCAAAGACTTATGGATCTCTAAATATTAAACAGGTTATAAWTTCAATGCATAATAATAGTTTTATATTATATTAAAAACAGTGCTTAATATTAATGTAGACAAATATTATAAAATAATGTTGAAATTCATAGACTACACCTGCATTACAATATGCATTATTTCAATAAAAGTGCTTAAAAATCATTTTGATTTTATTTCCTATATTGATAGTGAATACTTTTCATTAGTTTTGGTGAAAATTGACTATTTGAAATCAATAAATTTGAGATAAAGAATATTACCTATTTAATTTAAATGTTATTGAATTTGTAGAAGTAGTTATATAATAATTCATATTTTATCTGTAACAAAATAAGAATGATCCACCATAGCTCATAATATACAGAATGATTGCTTTAACACATGGACCCAATCAAATTTAAACAATTAAAAGCTATTTTGAAACCAAAATTCTTTAAAAATAATAAGCATAAGTATTTGAAATTCAAAACTGATATYATTTAAATATACTAGTAATAAAAGACTTTGGTCTTGTACAAAATACAATAAAATAGGTTTTACTGATTCATGTTAAAATAATTACACTGTATATGTTGTTTATTACTATATTAGTTATTTCTTGTCAACTAATTGTTTTTTAACTTGTATTATAGGTACCTTTTATCTATGTAGTTTATTTTTCAGTTTTATTATTTCCTCATAAAATGTARACCATAAAATTTTGAGATAAGTTCATAAACCTTTTTATTTTTTATTTGGTTATATCTGTTTTCAATTATAATTAGTTGATTAATAATTATGGTTATGACGTTGGTTCATTATTGTACAATAATGAATACATATCTAATTATTCTTAAGAATTATATTTTTATTGTTCATAAAATACCTACTTCTAATATTTATTCAATAAAACTTTTTTGAATGGTAAACACTTAAATATTTTTATTCAAATACTTTTTTAAGAGGTTAGAGGATGTCAGCGCATAGTTATTTTTTTTATGCAAAACGTGTTTTTCTTTTAGTAGAACCAACCCTTGTGTTATGGATTTATTATTAGAATAGTTTGGCCTATTATCAAACTTAAAGTTTGGAAAATTATTTATGTTGTAGGTATGTTACAATATTTCAATTTGTATGCTAGTTAAGTAKTTATTTGAATGTATAACAATATAAAATTTCTCTTATTTTTCTTTAAAATTGAAATACTATAAAAAAAATCCAAAGTAGAAACACAGATAAATTTCCTCTTGATAATTAATCAATTCCTTTAAACACTTAAGTTATAAACATAATAGTGGTCCTGCTGAATGCAAATTTAGTATGTTGCCATTGGTCAAATAGAGAAAGCAAATGGTGTGTTGACATCATCTTAATATTATAAGGTACTATTCATTTAAAATATAGCTTAAATCTTAACATATTTATTTATTAAAATTTTAAATTACAATGTACAGATTTTACGTTTGTTCAGTTAGTTAAAAAAAACCTTTAAAACATGTTAATGAATAATTGAAGCCATTTAAATATATTCTATTCAAATATTTAACAGTATAGCATGCCAGACAAACAAAAATTAAGCGTGAAAATAGGTTATGTAACATATTTTATCATGCATATATTGAATAGTTTATTACATGATTAAACAAAATACATTTTATTATAATATGTAAAACAAGAAAGGCTTAGATCTAAAACTTTAAAGGCTGTCCAATCAGTAATTCTAATTTACTTTTTTGTCATTTGGCTTTCCTTGGTAGCTTARCATATTATAGCGATGTATTTTGTTGTTTAAAAATAGAATCTAAAACATTGAGTTATTTAGTTAATGGTATWAAAAACTAATATAAACAGAGCATAATTTTTGGGATATCCTTGTCATATTATTCCACTTATCTAAGCTCTAAACAGTTATTAGTAACTAAATAACTACTTGTTTATAATTAGATTATTATGTGTCAAAATGTTCTAAAATAAATATTAACTWTAATAGTTTACTTTAATTAATATAGATACTTACATAGTTTTAGAATATTAGTTGATATAAATATTTTTACCCACAATTTTTTTTTATATAGTAGTTGGTATTAATGAAAATTGATTAGTCATTATCAATATACCTACCTATAATAATTGTTAATGTTTAATTAAGTATAAATACTTTTGATTAATTAAATTTAAATTCTAAACACCTAATTAGTGATCAGTGATAACTACAAAACAATAATTAATACCCATGTATTTATTCTCAGATTATAGATGTTAATGTGTCAACAGTTTTATTTTAAAAATGTCTGACATCTTTTAATTGGTATTGAGTTAAATCTATAAAATATCACCATATTAAAAATAATAATATTTTAATTGTTTTATGACATCAATAGGAAGCCATTCTTTTTATCATAATACATTAAAAAATTAAAATTTTAATTATTTTTTAAATTACATTAAAATTGCCTATATCAAACTCCTTAAAGAACGAGTGTATGGCGTCCCCCAAAAAATCTCTTCTTAAAAACCGGCATATTTCTATGTATTTCTTTTATTGGAAATTTCTCAATTACCATCATAAAAATAGTAGCACTTTCCTTGTATGTTATTATTTATAATAAATAGAAATAAAATAATGATCAAGTATTTACCTATGTATTTATAATTTATATAATTATATACTAGGCAAGTACACCCATATATAAATTATATAATTTTTTTTAAATGTATTTAAAAAAAGTTCTCTATGATATTATTGTTTACTATACTAAACATATTAATGTTTTAATTTTTAATCAACTATCATAAAATTATCGTTTGAGATTCAATTTTTATTGAATAATTTTCATTATTTTWTGTTTTAAAAAATACTTTGATTATATTATACTTTTCAGTTGGCGATTTGTCTATTACACATTTTCATTCCACTATGGCCTTACATTCTTATGGAATAAACCATGGTTATTGAATATAGATTATTGTTGGATTGGATATCCACACCAGGTAAAAATTACTTATAAAAATATTTTTTCTTTGAAAAGTCA